CCCCCGCCCAGCTGGGCAGCGCCGGCCGCGCTCCGATTCTTCGTAGCCCGGAGCCCCATCTCGCGTGTCTGACACCAGATCCTGCCTGGCAGCCCCCCATCCTCCCCCGCCTGGCAGCCTCCTCCCGCCTCTGCCAGTCCCCCCCCAGCTCTGTCCTCCCCCCTCTGCCAGCCCTCCCAGCCCAGCATCCCTCCACCCCCTGCAGTCCCCAAACCTCACTCTCAGAGCCCCCCCATCCTAGGCTAGAAAAGGGGGTAAGTGACATCCCCTCCCCCCATGGGCAGCCCCCCCCAAGAAACCCCCTGAAATCCCACAGCCCCCACCTTTGTCCCCCAGAAATGGGGCAGCCCGAACGCACGCCTCTGTGACCCCCTCCAGCTCTGCCCCACATCTCCCAGCTCTCTGAGCGCCGACACCCCACAGCAGTGGGGAGCTGGGGCAGCGGTGCTGGGGGGGGGGAGGCAGGGGAGGGGGCTGTGGGGGGTAGTGCTAGAGGAGGCTGCGGAGCTGGGGGGCGGAGCTGGGGGAGGCCGGGGAGCTGGGGGGCGGCGCTGGGGGAAGCTGGGGGGCGGCCCAGGGGGCAGGAGGTTAAGTACAAATCCATGTAGCTGAGACAATGTCAATTAAAAATGCAAAGCGAGCGAGTGGTGTGGGACTCGGGGGGGGGGTTCGCAGTGGGGGGGGGACACGGGGGATGTGGGGCTCTGTCAGAGCCCATCCATCCACCGGGCCAGGGACCGGGCCAGGGCGGAGGATGGGACAGAGCAGGGGGACAGCGGGGGGACGGGGGGCAGGTTTGGGTCCGTAATTCCCCCTCCCCAGCCAGCCGCCACATCCGGGTCCAGATGGAGCAGCTCCTGCTATGGGGACAAAGCCAATAATCCCCGCCCCCCGCCACAGGGAACCCCCTAAAGCCCCACCCGGACGCCTGGGTTCGCCCTCGGCCTACCCGTCTGCTCACATCCTCCCCGCGAAAGGCACAGGGCTTGGAGGGGCCCAGATACCCCCCTTCTTGAACCCTGACTTGTCAGGGACCCCCCCCCTCATATCGCACCCGGGAGCCCCTCCCCTCAGCACTGGGGCCTCCCCCGAGCCCCCCGCAGCCCCCACCCCGGCCCCATCGGATCCGATTAGCACCGAGTCCTGACAGGAGCCTGATCTGGCTAATTGTGGCTGCCGAGCCGCTGTGCAAAGCGCCCGGGGGGGTGTCGGTTTAACCCCCCTCCCCTCGCCAGCCTGGACACCCCCCATTTTCCCAGCAGCCCGTGCGGATCCACCCCACCCCCCCCCCATGGCCCAGATTCGGGGCGGGGGGGAAGCTCCCTGATTTACAGAGCAGGGAAACCCAACCCCCAGACAGCTCTGAGGGGAGCAGTTCACAAACCCGGACGCCTGGGTTCTATTCCTCTTTGGTTCCTCCCCCCCCC